TCCCTCCGTCCCGTTCCCGTGGGGCTCCACTCCGGCGACTGTGGAAGGAGGCCCGGTGGGAAGCGGAGGAGCCGGGCCCCGCAGTCCCGGCTTGTCCCTGGTTGGCTTCGTGACCTGCCTTCTCTCAGCCTGCGCTGTCTCTGTCCTGTGGCCTCCAGGTTTCTCCAGTCGATGGCTAAATGGGATTTCCTGGCATCCCTCGCGGCGCGCTGCTTTGCCCATTTAGACACACACCGCCATAACACACAGGCAAACGAAAGGGGCGGGGTGGACAGCAGCACCGCAGACATTCGAGGCGGGTGGCTTCAGGGAGGAGTATGTACGAGCCGAGGCTGCAAACGGGGCGGGAGCCGGGGCGGGCACACACCAGGAGGGGAGAGGCAACGCCCAAATGAGGACAGAACCCTTCCCTGCCGCTCGGGCGTCGGCTCCGGTGCCACTGTGCCCCTATCTGTGGGACTGCAGGGAGGTGCCACTGTGCCCCTATCTGTGGGATTGCAGGGAGGTGCCACTGTGCCCCTATCTGTGGGACTGCAGGGAGGTGCCACTGTGCCCCTATCTGTGGGACCGCAGGGAGGTGCCACTGTGCCCCTATCTGTGGGACTGCAGGGAGGGCCCCTTTCCTCTCATAATGAAGAGGTCACAGACCAGGTGTCTTAAAATTCCACCCAGCAGGAGCACGCTGTGCGTCCATCGACTCAGCGCCACAGAGGAGCTGATGGGTGTGGGAGATGCCGACTTTTCAGCTGATGGCAGGCTGGGCCGGCAGGAGCAGAGAGAGCCCAAGGCAGAAGCACCTGCCACGCAGCGTGGGCCGCGGGCACTGTCTCCAAGGCGCGCTGAGCCTCTGCCAAATCCACACATCAAACGACAATCTGATTCTCACACTTGGACCCCTGAATGCTAGCTGGCACTGAACGTCTGAGCTGCAGGCCTCCAATCTGTCTCCTCGCCACTGAGGAAAGGAGTCTGTGCTCTATTAAAAGCATTTTTTAAAAACCAGAGAATGCTAAATGTGTTTGAAAAATAAAAATCGACCAAAAAATACATTTTCTCCCTCTTTAGAGTTGTTATCTTTACATGTGTTCGTGGTGCCGGGCACCAGCTGGGAATGGAAGTCTGAAGATGGCGTGAGCAAGGCCCCACCTGCAGAGGCAGGGACTGCATCAGAGCCAGCCGGAGCCACTTCCCCCGTCCACACAGCCCCGGACACCACAGTGAATGGCTCGGGGCCTTCTCCCCCCGTGTCTCCGTCTCTCAGGGCGCCCCTTTACAATCCATGGCGCACGCAATTCCCAGATGGGGAAAGAATCTCTCAGATCCATTTGGTGGCCTGGCGCCCATCTCACTGCCACAGAACCACGGCTGTCTGCGCCCTCCGTGTCCCACGTGTACACTTCCCTCTGCCTCGGTTGCTGCTCCCCCACTGGACCTGGCTTACCCTGATTCAGTGCCTTCCAGGCACGATCTACTCCAAGAAGCCCTCTGCCAATGGTGGGGGTTCAGAGCTTCACCTTTGCTTAATATTACACTTCTCTGAACATGTCCCAGACACACAGCCACCTGCCAGGAAAGCGTCTCGAGGCCAGGGCCATGCTGCTCTCGCCTCCCTTGGTGTCAGGAAGTTAGCACAGAAGCGGTGCTCCATGAAGCCGGACGGCTGGAGCACTCCCAGCGTCTGACAGATCCAGCCTGGCTGTGTCACATCCGCTGCGTCCAGCTGCCTCCACTGGCTACTATTTGGAAGGCTGTCTCTGGCCCAGCCACACAGCTCGCTCTGAGACCCTGACCTGCCCTTCTGGCGTTTGCTTCCCTAACATCATGGACTGTTCGGCACCTTGGAAAGCCTTCCCCACCATCTGTAAGTGCTGCCAATCCATGTCCACCACCTGCCTCAGGCTGGCTTAACAACTCAATCTCCTGGGGGCCACCATGAATGAATCCCAGCTCACTGCCATCCTGGACACACCTAGGCTTCAGTTTTTTACCAGAGACCTTAGGGAGGTGTCTAGATTGGGCAGACAGGCTGATTTTTTTCTTTTTTTTTTTTTTTTTGAGACAGTCTCTGTTGCCCAGGCTGGAGTGCGGTGGTGTGATCTCGGCTCACTGCAACCTCTGCATTCTGGGTTCAAGCGATTCTCCTGCGTCAGCCTCCCAAGTAGCTGGGACCACAGGTGCGCGCCACCATGCCTGGCTAATTTTTTTTATTTTTAGTAGAGATGGAATTTCACCGTGTTAGCCAGGATGGTCTTGATCTCTGACCTCGTGATCCGCCCACCTCAGCCTCCCAAAGGGCTGGGATTACAGGCATGAGGCGCCACACCTGGCTTGACAGGCTGATTTTCAATGGGTGGTGGCGGCCGCCTCCATCCTGGGTCTCTACCACGCGGGGACTCTGCAGAGGAAGAGAAGGCCAGACCGTTCCTTGGCCCACAGGAGTGACTGCATATCCTCACTCCCTTCATGAGACGAAATGCGGCGGCACATACATTTTTTCCTTAGACGTGTGCCAGGAGTTGCAGCCCTGCATTCCGGAAGCGTGATGATTCCCCGGAATGGTATATCGATTTGCATTTGTTAACTGCTTTCAAGTTTTCTTTCCCGAGTAGCTATTTCTAGCCCCAAGTAGGCTGTGAGCAGAGTCTGTGCCTCATTCATTCCTCTGTCCCCATACTGCGCACTCGTTCCTAACAGGTAATCCGCAAATGCTTGTTACCTAACTAAAGGCAAATTAAATGCTAAACAGCACTAATGACAGGCTGTTGCGAGATCCAGGCTCGGTGAAGAGAATTGCTTGCGGTTGTCAGGGGCCTGCCTGTTGCCCAGGTGTCGGAGGAAACACGAGACTGCTCTTCCAGACTGCTTCTCGATTCTGGCGGTGAGGCGTTCTTCTAAGACTGCTGCAATATAATGTTTGGAGGGCAGGATTCATTAAAAAAAAATTTTTTTTTTTTTTTTTTGAAACAGAGTCTTACTCTGTCACCCAGGCTGGAGCGCAGTACCACAATCTTAGCTCACTTTAACGTTCACCTCCTGGGGTTCAAGTGATTCTCGACTCTGCCTCCTGAATAACTGGGATTACAGGTGCCTGCCACCACGCTCGGCTAATTTTTGTATCTTTAGTGGTGATGGGGTTTCGCCATGTTGGCCAGGCTGATCTTGAACTCCTGACCTCAGGTGATCCACCTGCCTCAGCCTCCGAAGTGCTAGGATTATGGTTATGAGCCACTGCGCCCAGCAGGGATTCATTAAAATTCTAAATACCAGTGTGTGACACCATGGAATCTTGTTCAGGAGCAATGAGACTAGATTTGACTCGTTTCCATCAAAGGAAACAAGCAGTAGCTATTGAAGGAAATTACGGCCTTAACAGTGTATCAGTCCCTTAAAGGAGGGCGAGAACATGCCAAGGCGCCGTGCTGAGCCTGCGGAGGGCCCCTCTCCAGGGAGGAGCCTCAAACAGATCCTCCAGTGGCCCCGTTTACAAGTCATAATCAATAATTTGTAGTGACAGTGTTTAAAATGTGCAGTTTAGTTTCTGGCTGATTGAACTCAAAGGAGCAGCTGCGTCATCTGTCAAGGTAAATATTCGAGAGGGAAAGCAGCTATTTTAGTCAAGAAAAAATAACCACAGGAGCTTTTCCAAAAGAGCTACTTATACCTCGTTTATTTTTATGTCATATATATTTTTCTCCTCCGCAGGGCAGCTGAGAGAGTCTTGTCTCCATTTTATGAGGCTACCAGAAGGGCAGCAGTCGGGGAAGCCGATTTCCCGGGGAGGGAGAGGCTCTCCGCCTGTGTGGACGCGTGCCGCCCCGTGCCCTGGGCTCGCTCTTCCTCCCTTCTCTATTCACAGACGTGGGGCAAACAGCACTTCACTTCTTAGGGGCGAGTCGCCCCTGCTGTTTATTTCTCCACATCAGGGCATCATCTCCGTCTGTAACAGCGTCCCCGAGGCCTGGGAAATAACGACGGACTCGATCTTACAGCCTCGGGGACCCTCGCAGGTGCACAGAGCCGTGGTGAAAACCGGCTGCAAACCCGCAGCACCTGCAGGGCGGGCACGGGGCGGCGGCCGCGCGGCTCTCCGTGATCCCCGTGCCTTCCCGACTGCGGAGGGCGTGAGCCCTCTGCGGGGATCCGTGCAAAGGCGGCAGGGCGCCCGGGACCGAGCTCCCCGGGTTCGCGTTCTGCTCCTAACCCTGACCGAAAGCGTGTCCTTGAACAAAACGCTCTGCGTGCCTCAGTTTCCTCTCTGTACAGTGGGAATAACCACAGCACCTACCTCGCCGGGCTGCCGTGGAGACAAAGGAAGGTCCCAGCTCCGTGCCGAGCGCATGCCCAGGACGGGTGAGTGCCCGGCACGGGGAGGCACTCCGCGGGGCCGGCGACAGCGGTTCCTGGCGCTCGCACGACGCGTGGCGCTCCCGCTCGGCCCCGTCTTAGTCATCACTCGTTCGCGGAGCGAACGCCAACGGCACGGGTGCCCGCTGCGGACGGGGGCGGAGGCTGAGGCTACGCGGCGGGCGAGGCGGGCGAGCCGGGTCCTCACGGGCGGACGAGCGGACCCGGGACCGGACCCGCTCCCCGGCGGCGCAGCGCGAGGCCCCGTCGGCGCTCGGCCTCCCGGAGGGCGCGGGGTGCGGCCGGGGCTGTGCGGACCGGACTCGTCGGTCCCGACCGCGGCCCCAGTGGGCGCGCCCGGCCTTCTGCAGACGGGGACGGGCCGGCTTCCCCCGGCCACAGGCCCGGAGCGGGTCGGCGGGACCCGGCCGAGCGCCCCGCGCGCGCGGAAGCCCACGCAACAGACACGCGCTCCCGGCACGGCGGCCGCCCGGGTTCCCGCGCCCTGGGGGGGCGGAACTTCCGGCGGAAATTTTCCCGGGGGCGGAGCCGCAGCGCCGGACCTGGTCCCGCGCCCTCCTCGCGCCTCTCAGCTGTCCAATCAGCGTTCTGCTTCTTGCCAGGCGCGCAGGCTCGCTCTCCAATCAGCAGCTGTCGTCGTCGCTGGGGGAACGGCGTCTTAGAGACGCCGGATGGGCAGCGCCTCGGAGACCCCTCGGCTTGGGGTCCGCGCACTCGGGTGCCGGCCCGGCTCGGCGGAGAGTCCAGGAGGGGGCCCGGGTAAGGCGGCATTCGGGGGGGCGCCCTCGCGAGCCACAGGCCGAGGAGGGGCCGCGGGGCGGGCGGCTCCTGGGGTCTCGGTGCCGCCCTCAGGGACGCGGGGAAGCGGCCGGCCGGTTCCCCGGCGCGCGCTCGCGGCGGTCTGCGGGGGCCGGGCGCGCGGCAGGTCCCGGGGCCCTGTCTGCAGCTTCTCACCTGCCGTGTCCGCCGCGCCCACGGCGGCGACGCCTTCCTGCCCGCGTCTCCGTGCGGACCGGCGGGGAAACGTGCGGGAAACGCCCTCCGTCTCCGGCGTACGACGCGTCTCGGGCCCCTGGTGTCGGTTGTGCCCACGGCAGCCTCGTGACTGTCGGGACGGACTCCCCGCGTGTAGACAGACGAGGACCTGAAGCTGGTGGGGCGAAGGGGCTTTCCCACGCTTGCGCGGCTCTCATGGGACGTTTCCGAGCCGGAGTTCGAACCCCTGGCTGCCCCGTGGCAGAAGCTCTGCTCTTTGACGCCCTCCGCGCCGGCCTGCACGTGACGACCCCGCCTGCCGCGGGGACTGTGCGAGGTGGCCGCCTGCACGAGGCTGACCTGGAACTGCCGTCCGAGTCCCCTCCTCCTGCCCCTCCTCCAAAGCTTGCCCTTCGGATGTCTTGCCCCTGTAAAGAGGACGCTGACTTCTTTTTCTTTTTCTCTTTCTTCCCCTCCCTCCCTTTCCTCCTTCTCTCTCTCTCTCTCTCTTTTTTTTTTTTTTTTGAGACGGAGTTTCGCTCTTGTTACCCAGGCTGGAGTGCAATGGCGCGATCTCGGCTCACCGCAACCTCCGCCTCCTGGGTTCAAGCAAATCTCCTGCCTCAACCTCCTGAGTAGCTGGGATTACAGGCACGTGCCACCATGCCCAGCTAGTTTTTTTGGATTTTTTTAGTAGAGACGGGGGTTCACCATGTTGACCAGGATGGTCTCTATCTCTTGACCTCGTGATCCGCCCGCCTCGGCCTCCCAAAGTGCTGGGATCACAGGCGTGAGCCACCGCGCCCGGCCTTTCTCTCTTTTTTTTTTCTTTTTTTTTTTTTTAAGTGGACTCTTGTTCTGTCACCCAGGCCGGAGTGTACTGGTGCGATCTCAGCTCACTGCAAGCTTTGCCTCCCAGGTTCAAGCAATTCTCGTACTTGAGCTTCCCAAATAGCTGCGATTACAGGCGCCCACCACCAGGCCCGGCTACTTTTTGTATTTTTAGTAGAGTCGGGGTTTCACCGTGTTGGCCAGGCTGGTCTCAAACTCCTGACCTCTAGTGATCTGCCCGCCTTGGCATGAGCCACCATGCCCGGCCTTCATTTTCAAGAAGAATGATTTAATAATGTTTCTTAAAGTATATGTGTGCTCCTAAATGGGTGAACTTAACGGAAATGTTGTAAATAAATTCTGCTGACACACACTGCGGTTCATCCATTGCCTTTAATTCAGCAGATATTTACTTGGCTAAGTTCTGAGGATATTAAAGTGAGTCAGAATGGCCGCTTTGATTATATGTGAATATATTTGCCTCCCAGTCAATCTTACTGCACGATTCTTTGAGGAGGAGCATTTTATTTTAGTTATCTGTGCCCTTCTTCCTCTATGCTCATTTTAATGCTTGGTTCATGGTATTTGTCAATAAGTGCTTACTTGAGACCAAATCGCTCCTCCAAGGAAAACTGCGCGGTTCCAGCTGTCTGCTTCTTCCCCATATACAGAGATCTCTGTGGCCCCCATGCTGTGATCCCTGCAGCTGACTGGCACCTGGAGACAGAGCCAGCTCCATGAGGATGTTCGGTAGCCTGGTGCCTGCCTAGATCGGGAATCTGGTGGGAGGCCACTGGCTGTTAACAAGGCAGTTGCTTTAGTAAAGCTTCTGTGCAGCCGCGTATCAAGAGTGGTTGTCTGAGGTTTGTAAGTGCTGAGAGTCACAGAAGCTTTCCCCAGATCTCTCCTTCCTTTGCCAGGATTGAAGGATAAAGTACATAATGTAAACAATAAATTGTGAGTGAGGAAAAAAAAAAAAGCTAACAGTCATTGTCTTCCTTTAAATACCACAAGTGATCTTTTTGTGAAGAATATATAAAAATATCCCAGGTCTAGGCTTGCAGAATTGTATCAAGTGGATTCTTGTAGTATTTACATACTAATTCACTTTCAGTTCAGCACTGCCTGGGATACTGTCACCTTTTGGAAGAGAATGTGTAGCGGGAAGAGACAAGTTTGAGAAAACTGTGGATAGGGATAACATGAATATGATATACTTTCAGTATTGAAAGCTTCATTTTCTGTTTTTGGTTTTGATCTTTCACTGGTATTTTGTTGACATGTTCCAGGTACCATTTTTACTTTTTCTTTCCATCTATTTGTTCACAGTTTTACTACTTCTATTTCTACTACAACGACTAATACTGCTACTGGCTAATACTAATTGAACACTTAACTGTGTGCCACGCAGTTTGGTTCTTCGTGCTTTTTAAATTTAGTCCTCACAAGTTGGTTATGAAAAAGTGCAGGTTGGGTGCAATGGCTTATGCCTGTAATCCTATTACTTTGGGTGGCTGAGGGAGGAGGATCACTTGAGGCCAGGAGTCTGAGTCCAGCCCAGGCAACAAAGTGAGACCCCATCTCTCTGGTGGCATGTGCCTTTAGTTCTAGCTACTCAGGGGGTCAAGGTGGGAGGATCACTTGAGCCCAAGAGTTTTAGGTTGCAGTGAGCTGTGATGATGCCATTGCACTCCAGCCGGGGTGACAGAGCGAGACTCTGTCTCAAAAAACAAAACAAGCTGAGTGCAGTGGCTCACGCCTGTAATCCCAACACTTTGGGAGGCCGAGGCCGGTGGATGAGCTGAGGTCAGGAGTTCGAGAACAGCCTGGCCAACATGGTGAAACCCTGTCTCTACTAAAAATGCCAAAAATTAGCCGGCTGTAGTGGTGGGCACCTGTAACCCCAGCTACTCCAGAAGCTGAGGCAGGAGAATCACTTGAACATGGGAGGCAGATGTTGCAGTGAGCAGAGGTCCCACTGTTGCACTTTAGCCTGGGCAACAAGAATAAAACTCCGTCTCAAAACAAACCAAAGCCAATCAAACAACCGAAACAAAACGCCACAGGGACACGGAGAGGTTAAGGGACTTCACAAAGCTGATAAATTGTAGTGAGTGTGGCTCCAGCTCCAGGATGGCCTGATAAAAGCACACACGGGGACAATAACCCGTGTTCTTGGTGAGTACTCTACCGCTCTCAAATAACTACAAGTCCTGCCAAGGCTTTGAGATGACTTGTAAGGATAGCTACAATGTGGCAAAATAGATACCTGTAAATCACAATCGTTAAAAACAGACAGAATAGAAGGGTATCGGAAAGAAAGTACTCAGATCATCTGTAACAGTTAATAAACTCGGGCTGTAAATTTAGCTTGGAACTTCTTGTCAACTCATGGAAAAACCAAAGTTAAAAAAATAGAAGGTAATACAATTTCTTTTTTTCCAGGCAAATATGGTCTTTTGATTCATCTGGAAAAATAGATCGAAAATAAATTTCTCACAGGGCTCATCACAGATTACTGAAAGGACCGAGATCACTGCTCAGTGACAAAAGCATGGGCTTACCGTCCTCACTCTTCAGGGAGAGAATGTGGACTCGAGCATTTGAGTTGACTATCTGAAAGATTTCTGAAGAGTAAGTTTTCGGTAACACCTCCTGAATTTAGTTTTTCTTCTGGGACATTGTAAACGGTGTTATTCTGTGCCCTGGGTTGCTTTCAGCCATTGGTTTGCTCATTTACTTAGCAGTTATTATTCACTGAGCACCTGCCGTATGCCAAGGCCTGCCTGAGCACTGGGGGTCACCAGGCGGTGCTCATCTCACTGCCGTGACACGCCTGGCGTCTCTGCCCTGCCAGTTCTTCCTGCTGGGTTTTTTTCTGGACTCATTTGTTTGTTTGTTTTTCTCTGCTATTATGATGTTCTGAGGTGAACCTATAACTGTCTACCTTTTTTTTTTTTTTTTTTTTTTTTTGGCCCAGTGCTCTGATTTATATTTCTGTATGTCCTCAGGGCCTAAGAATAACAGCTACCAAATAGTTAAAGCTCGCTGTATGCCAAGCACTCTACGAATGTCACCTGAGATCCAGCTACGGCCTGTAGAGCAGTGGCCTTTGCCATTTTGGGGTCACCTGCCTTTTGAGAAGTGGTCTAGAAAAATCATCTCACACAGTTTTGTATCTCATTGAGTCTGGAGGTCTACAAAAACACACACATGGGCCTTGATTCCATGCTAAGAATACTTGCTCGAAGGAGAGATACTACATTTGTCCCTTAGTATCTTTGGGAGATTTGTTTTAGCATCCCCTCAAAGATACCTAGATTCATGGATGTTCAAGTCCCTTATATAAAATGCGTAGTATTTGCGTATAACCTACACGATCCTCCCATATACTTTAAATTATCTCTAGATTACTTATAATACCTAATACAATGTAAATATTACGTAAATAGTTAAACTGTATTGAGACAAGGAAAAAGGTCCATACATGGTCAGCACAGACACAAACATCCTTATTTTTCCTGAATATTTTTGATCTATTGTTGAATCCATGGATGTGGAACCCATGTTATCAAGGGCAACTGTATCTCCCTTCGTCAAATGTGGAAACTGAGTCGGGAGGAGGTTAATTAACTTGCAAGTTCTTGCGGTGGGTAGTGGAGTCAGTTTGACCCCATGCCTGCTTGATGCCAAGGCTTTTGATTTTCCCACTGTTCAAGAGTGTAAATGCTCGATAAATGGCTGTTGTATATATGGAAGTCTGTGGAATGCTATAAAGGGAACTCGATAGTTGATGTGTCCCAAAATATAACAGAACATCCATTTGATATCAGTATAGACAAGGAGAAGATTTTTCTCAAGTGTTTGGATCTAACTGCCAAAACCTTTTGTGTTGCTTACAATTTTTTCCAATTTAGTCGAGTAATAATTTCCACAACCCCACTGCATGATACAGTTCCAACAATTTTTGCTTCTGGTGCCATTTCTGTTTGGCTGTGCACACTTTCTGCTCTTGTGTTGAATTTTTTTTCTCTGGATGCCAAGGCAGATGCATGGCACTTTTAGGATTCTGATATAAATAGCATGTGTTTAAAGCTGGACATCAGTACTTCTCTGGCACGTAAACAAATCTCTCAGTTAAATAGCCTTCTAACTGGGTTTTTGCCCGTGGTTAAGAAGTGTATTTGATGGTCTGTGACTTGATGCTTATTTTGGGGGTATTAGTTTTTATGGTCCTTGCCAATTTCTACCTCACCAAGTTCTGAAGTAATCACATTCATTAATGTCTCAAAATTCTCTTTGTTTTGAAAACCTCAGCTGAGGATGGTGGAAAGTCGGGGGTGAGCTACAGAACCCCTCACAGTGCCGTGGTCATAATCAGAACATTGTTTACCTTTCAAAATCAAGGATAAAATCAGTGTAAGCTTCTATCCCTGGCGGTGTTAGTGTTGATGACTGTAGTCCACAAGAGCAGAGGTGAATGGGGTGCTTGCTGCATGCTATGCCGTGTGGGGTATAAAAAGGTAAGTGGAGCCCTCGTCCCTGGAGGGATTTGCTGTCTAACAGCGGCCAACAGAAAGGTCTGGAAGCAGAGAATTAAAGTGAAAACTGAGGTAGAACTAGAGGAATAGATGGGAAAATTTAATACTTCTGCTTCATACTTTCCCCTCCCACCACCTCTGAAGCCCCACAGCAAAGCGATGGAATTCCGAGGGGCTTCTGTATGTTCTTTTCTTTATTAAATGAAACAATTAGCAAAGCACACCTCTAAGACTTAAGCTTTTTGTAAAGGCATGATTAGTTTTGTTTAAGGACGTTAGGAAGGTCTCATGAAGGAAGGGGATATAACCTCAGTCTTCAAAGGTTTATTGAAGTGTGCCAGGTGCAAAAGAAGGAAGGAAATTTTAGCACAGGCGTGAACTGGAACTCAGAAGTGAGGGGTGACGTTGCGTATTGGGAGCACCAGGTAAGACTGTAGCATGCCTGGAGGTAATGGCACCTGGAAGGGTCACCTGAAGCCAGGTGGTTAATGATGTAAATGACCTTCTATACCACAATTAAGAGTTTGAATTTCAGGCCTGGTGTGGTGGCTCATACCTGTAATCCCAGCACTTCGGAAGGCTGAAGTGGGAGGATCACTTGAGCCCAGAAGTTTGAGACCAGCCTGGGTAACATGGCAAAACCTTGTCTCTACAAAAATTAGCCAGGTGTGGTGGCACGCACCTGTAGTCCCAGTTATTCAGGAGGCTGAGGCTAAGGTGCAAGGATCACTTGAGCCCTGAAGGCAAGGTTGTGATGAGCCGAGATTGCACCACTGCATTCTAGTCTGATATCTCCTCTCAAAAAAAAAAAAAAAATGCTCTCTCTTCTTTTTCTTTTTCTTTTTCTTTTCTTTGTTTTTTTTTTTTTTTTGGAGACGGAGTCTCACTCTGTCACCCGGGCTGCAGCCGTGCGATCTCAGCTAACTGCAACCTTCGCCTCCTGGGTTCAAGTGATTCTTGTACCTCCGGCTCCCAAGTAGCTGGGATTACAGGCACCCACCACCACACCCAGCTAATTTTTTTGTGTATTTTAGTAAAGTCAGGATTTTGCCATGTTGGCCAGGCTAGTCTCAAACTCCTGGCCTCAAGTGATCTGCCTACCTCGGCTTCCCAGTGTTGGGATTACAGGCATTGACCCACTGCTCCTGACCCTATTTTTTTTATTTTAAAATTTTAAATTTATTTTTATTGATCCATAATCCATGTACCTATTTCAAGGTACATGGGATTTTACACATTCATATAATTTGTAAAGATCAAATCCGTATACTTAGGATATCCATCACCTTAAATATTTGTCTTTTCTTTATATTAGAACCATTCAAATTCTTCTCGTCTAGCTGTTTTGAAATGTACAGTAGGTTATTATAAACTGTAGTCACCTTACTGATCTAACACTAAGTGTTATTTCTTCTATCAGACTATGTATTTGTACCCATTAATCAACTTCTCTTCATCCTCTGCTCCCCTCTACCTTTCCTGGCCTGTGCTAACCACCAATCTACTCTTATCTTTGTGAATCCACTTTTTGAGCTCCTCCATATGAGTGAGAACATGCAACATTCTTCTTTTCTATACTTGGCTTATCTCACTTTTTAATCAGAATGTCACATAGTGACCTCCAGTTCCACCCGTGTTGCTACAAATGACAGAATTTTACTATTTTTTTAATGGCTGGATACTATTCCATTGTGTGTATGTAGCACATTTTCTTCATCCATTCATTTATTGATGGTCACTTAGGTTGATTCTGTTTTGGCTACTGTGAATTGTGCTGCAATGAACATGGACAGATGTCTTTTTGATATATTGATTTCCTGTTTTGGGGATATATACCCATTAGTGGAATTGCTGGATCATTTGGTAGTTCTATTTTCAGTTTTTTTTTTTTTTTTTTTTATTTTTTTTTTTAGGTAAGTCCACACTGTTCTCCGTAGTGGCTGTGCTCATTCACATTCCCATCAGCAGGGTACAAGGGTTCCCCTTTGTCTGCATCCTTGCCAGCATCTGTTACTGCCTGCGTTTTGGATAAAATCCATTTCAACTGGGATCAGATATCTCATTGTGCTTTTGATTTGCATTTCTCTGATGATTAGTGATGTTGAGCATTTTTTCATGTACCTGTTGGTTGTTTGGATGTCTAGTTTTGAGAAATGCCCATTCCGTGATTTTGCCCATTTATAAATCAGATTGTTTGCTTGCTGTTGAGCGTTTGACCTCCTTATATATGTATTCTAGTTATTAATCCCTTGTCAGACGAGCAGTTTGCAAATGTTTTCTTCTATTCTGTGAGTTGTCTTTTCACTTCACTGGTTGTTTCCTTTGCAGAAGCTTTTAGCTAGACGTAATCTCATTTGTCTATGTTTGCTTTGGTTCCCGTGCTTTTGAAGTCTTACACAAAAGATCTTTGCTACACCAATGTCCCGAGGCATTTCCCCAATGTTTTCTTCTAGTAGTTTCATAGTTTCGGGTCTTAGATTTAAGTCTTTGATCCATTTGATTTTATTTATGTGTATGGTGAGAGACAGGGCTCTAGTGTCATTCTTCTACATATAATTGTTTAGTTTTCCCAGTGCTATTCATTGAAGAGACTGTCTTTACCCATTGTATGTTCTTGACATCTTTGTTAAAGATGAGTTGGCTGTAAATGTGTGGATTTATATCTGGGTTTTCTATTCTGTTCCTATTTTTCTATGTGTCTGTTTTTATGCCAGTGCCATGCTGATTTGATAGTGATAGCTTTGTAGTAAATTTTGAAGTCATGTAGTATGATGCCTGCCACTTTGTTCTCTTTGCTCAGGATTGCTATGGCTACTAGGGATCTTTTGTGGTTCCATGCAAATTTTAGGACTTTTTTTCCTTTTTCTATGAGGAATGTTATGGTATTGTGGTAGGGATTGCATTGAACGTGTAAATTGCTGTGGGTAGTATTGCCGTTTCAACAGTACTAAATTTTTCAATTCATGAACATGAAATACCTTTCCATTTTTTGGTGTCCTCTTCAATTTCTTTCATCAGTGTTTATTATAGTTTTTCTTGTATCAATCTTTCACTTCTTTGATTAAATTGATTTCTATTTTATATTCTTTGTAG